AAAAAACCCCAACTCATAACACTGAATAGTTACTGACTGATTAGGAGACAATACAATTTTCTGACAGCAAAAATTCACTTAACCCTGGAATGAACGTGAAAGGATGTACCCAAGACCAAAATAGTCCCATGTGAATTACATTTAAGATTTGGGGAAATTATTTCATAGCACATGGGTCCTGTTAGGTCCAGAGAAGATGGTATTTACTTTATTAATTCATTCCCCTCTGTTTTCTACATGTTTTCTGTATAACACTGATATAAACCAGGTATCTCAAACTACATGTAAGGTATAGTTCTACATGGTAATACTTTCTAGTGATGAGGGTTATGAGGTTAATACCAGAATGGCAAAATTCTCCAAAGACGAGCAATGGAAACACACAGAAAATGGAAATATGAATGTTCTCTTACCATCCTTCATATTTTTTCATGGCAGCCTGGAGAATCAGGAGGGATGCAATGGCAAGTATGAGGTGGGCAACTGATCTGTCTCAACTGGATTCATTTCAGTCACACACTCCAGTAGTTATCTTTGTCCTTCCAGCTACATCAGACTTCTCTGTCCTCACTACCAACCATAGCCTCTAGATATGAAATATACCTCCCCAAACTCCAAGTCCAAAACACTCAGACCCATTAAAGGTTTCCCCTTTTCTTCTACTAAGAACAAAGAACACATTACATTTTTCTATGTGAAGTATGCTATTAAATAATAGCTTGTACACTAATTAAAGCAAATGTAATTGTGAGAACACACTGACATTGTTAAAGTAAATTACCCATTTTGTTAATAGTTTCATTTCAAGTGACCTTAATTGTATTAATTGTGATATTGAGCAAATTAAATTGAAGAGTATTAAATGCATTGTTCCAGACTGTCCTTAGAGGATCAACTTTCTCATTACATCAATGAAATGGGAATACTACCTACTATGCTCTTTAAAACTTGTGTCAGAATGTGGTGAACGCTATAACTTAGAGTAAAAATTTATAGCAGGTCAGAAACAGTTAACCTAGTTATCCCGTTTCAATGTAATATAAACCTCAAGCATTCGGAAATGAACAAAATAGTTTGTCAGATGCAATACACAGTGAGAAGGTAGAAGAGCAAAGCTTCTGAAATTTCTCTTCATATATTCAGGGTTTATAAAGTCTCTGCTGGAGACAAAAAAAGCTAAGGTTCATCAGTTTCTCTGAAAAAGATCCCTATTTCAGAGGGAATCATTCAAAAATATTGTTAGAAGAAAATGAACAATATCATGAAGATTTTTAGAACAGAAAATCTAGCAAGATACCATCAACTTACTGTAGTCAAAAGAAAAAATAACAATGCATATATACATATATGCATGTAAATTAAAATACAACCAGATTCAAAAGATATAACCCAAAATTAAAATTTCTTATAAGAACTAAAATCTTCCATTTGAAGTATCAGATTGCGAAAGTGAGAATCCCTGCCACAAATTTCTTACCAACTATTAAAAATGCTATTTAAAAAAGCATATATGAGTGCATATACGCAATGCATATTTTTCTATCTTGAAAAAAAAATCAGACACAAGGAAAATAACATAAGCCAAATCAACCATCAGAAAAAGACTGAAATACTCTTATCTGTTTTTTTTGAATATTTTAAAGGAATAGAAAAAAGATCTTGACTGTCAATTAGTTAACAGCCTATCCTGAATTTTGTAAATTTGCAAACAAGCACATTCTTATGACTCATCATAACTCAATATTCAAAGTTCCTGTTACACAAAATTTGGAGTGCTATGAACGCCCAGATCTTTCTCCAAGTGACACTTACCTCATCTGTTATGCTCTACTTTCATTTGTTCAGCTAGATAATTGTCTCCTGCCTAGCATTTGCAACATTAAACCTCGCAGCTGTTCCTAGTGAACCATGTCTTATTCTTCTCAGGCCACTTCTCCAAAATCTCAAGAATACTCTGAATTGTATGTCTGCCCTCCATTGTGCTAACAACCCTGTCCCAAATAAACCATGTTTTCTCTCTGTACCTTCACTGAGATTTTAACAAAAGCACTGAGTACTACCAGACTCAATCAATGTATTACTGGAATCCCATCCAATATATTCTTCCAAGCTGACAGCAAATGAACAAAAAGTAGCCTATGCATGCAGTTTTCCAACCAGCTATACTTAACAGCAATCCATGTATTTCTGAAATTTCTTTCATTTTATGAAAATGCCTTGTGGGAGAATTTCAAAACTCCAGCTGGACATGACATCTCCTGGTTCTCTATCAAGTTTTGGTATCAGTTGCACATACTAAAAATACAATACTTCATGTAGATTAACAAATCTGACTAGCTCTATGACTAAATATTCATTTTCAGCATCCTTATCAGTGACGTGCTTTATTTTTATCATCTCATCTGAGTGAAGACTTCTATCACTCTGCCTCCAAGGTAATACTTTAAGCATTCAACAGAGCTTCAAAAAACAGTTCAGATGTCCTGATATTCCACAATATTGCATAGAACATCTCCGATGATGGACCACCTCTCTTGCAAATTCCTATGAGACATGATACAGAAGACTTGAAGATACAGCTTTTCACCAAGTGATTCTGTATCATGCCTGAAACTTGGGGCCGAGTTGAAAAACCTTGTCTTGAAATACTTCTGTGAAGATAATGACGGACAGACTACGTGGATGGGAACAACTGTATACTTTGATGCCCAGAAACCTAACACCATCTAAGCATATGCTGTTTTTAAAATGAAATATTAAAACTTCAAAGACGTATTTTGTATAGATAAAGTTTCCAATTAAAATGCAGTATGTGTTTCACAGTAAAAAAACCTATGAAGATGAAATGGATGCTTTATATAAAATATTTACATAGATAGAACATAAAAAATGTACCATAGTTGGTAACCTTTATGACTTGGGGAACCATGTATTTACATATCTTTATCTTCGCATGTGCGTATGTGTGTGTTGTGTATATATTTTTAACAGTTGACAGCTGTTTTAGAGCATACAGAGATGCCAAGCTGAATGAGGGTCTTGATTACTTCAAGATTAGCTATCTAAAGTTTCTATTCATTTTAAGTGTTGTTAGTGTGAAGAGTCATTAGTCACTTCCTTGTCTCATAGAACATCAGCATACATTTACATTGTTAATGAACATTTGGGGTAAATGAATTAATGGCACTTTTAAACATCAATTCAATACTAATAACTTTGTATGTCATAGAAATGTTAAGGTTGGGATAAAAATGAGAAACCTTTTCAGTCAAGGTAACTAATCGCTTCTGGGCACAATAAAGGGTAAAATTAATTTACAGTGTTTTTTTAACAGGATAAAAATCTTGGGTTTTCTTGAAACAGGGTTGAGAGAATTACCAGTATTTTTTAAAGGAAAAAAATCAGAAGAAAATGCTTATCTTTTCCTTGATTGGGGAAGACTAGAAGCAAGCTATATTTCCTCTGGAAAATGGCTATTATTTTAGGTTATTGCAAAAGATTATTTTCAAGTTTCTAAAAATACGTAAAAAAATGCATTTAGTTTATGAAACTAAAATGGCTCCATATCGTTAAGATGTCAAATACAATAGAGGAGGAACACTGACCTAGAAAAGCTATTTCATTTAATCGTCAGGTTTTAAAATACTTCCCCCTAGATGTTCATTCTCATTTTCTAACATTGAAAAAGCTTTATAAACCAATGAAGAAAAAATGAAAAAAAATTAGCTCAAAGGGACAATGAAGTTTTACCAATATATTTTAAAGCAAAACATCAGCTTCTTATGAACTGAAGTAATAAACCTGACTAAGCAAAACTTGACTAGCTTTTTTAATAAGCACTAGTAAAAAGAAGATTTACAGATACACCCTCACAGAGTAGTTGATCTGAGTGAGGGACTTAGGAAATGTGATGAAGTTGTTTCAACACTGTAATTTAAAATAATTTTTTTATTTTACCCTCCTGGTACAGTTGTGCCAGGGGAGATTTAGATTAGACATTAGGAAAAATTTCTTCACCGAAAGGGTTATCAAGCATTGGAACAGGCTGCCCAGGGAAGCGGGTGAGTCACCATCCCTGGAGGTATTTAAAAGATGTGTGGACGTGGCGCTTAGGGACATGGTTTAGTGGTGGACTTGGCAGTGTTAGGTTTATGGTTGGACTCAATGATCTTAAGGGTCTTTTCCAACCTAAACGATTCTGTGATTCTATGTGTTCAATGACTGGAAAATTACAGGTAGTTAAGGTGCCACTGTGTATAACTGAGTACTTGAGGAATGTTTTCATGACAAGGACGAGCTTTCTCGTTAAGCTTATCACTTTCTTCAAACCAACTATACTGTCACTACTAGCAAATAAGTAGAAAAGACAAGCAACACAGACATGCATTGCATTATGCAAGCAGTTTGTTCTCACTGTTCATTAGAGTCTTCCAAATACTGCATTTAATTAATTTACTTTAGGTTACACAGTAATTTCTACCTTTAGAGCCTGTTCATTCTATCTCAACTTCCAGTTTTTTTTTTCAAATAACAATATAGGTGCTGAGTCAAACAAAAAAAAAGGAAAATCAGCCTTTTTATTTTCATAATCTCATCCAAAATAACACACTGAACTTTACTGCAGAATTAAAAAAAAAAAAAGGAAAACAGAAAAAATCCCTAAAACCAAAGCAGTGTAAGAGCCCATGCTTGAGAAAGTAACAAAAAGCCATGCTGCATTTCAATATTCTTATGCTGAAGTCAGTGTTTGGTTTATGATTAAAAAAGGATGACAGCGCATTAAACATTTGGCTAATGTTTCTGTCTGTAATTGAAAGTTGACTTTTCGTGGTTTTCATTAGTGTCAGAGTGTTCTACACATACTCTGTGAAATGTTCTTTAAGTTGCCCTGTTCAACTTCATTGAGAGAATTAAACAAATTATGACAAGTACAGTTATCGTGACACACATATAAGGTTTCAAGGTATAAAGTCAAAAAAGCACAGAAATACAAAACTCACCTTCCCCTGGCTTGTTCAAATAACTCTGCAAGGGATCAATGCCTATTTCTTGTTCCTCTGTTTGCAAAGGGTGACTGGTTTCAGACACAGAATGATACATATTGGCAATAGTAAATTCCAACTGAGGCGTATTTATCTGGAGGAAAAAAACAGAGAAACAAACACTTCAGTGTTTCTTTAGCTATTTTTCAATCACACAAGTCAATAGCAAAAATGCTTAAAACCTTTCCTTATTTTCCAGGTGTAACATCACCATTAGAAGCCTAATAACAGAACAATAGTGTTTCCATTCAAATGTTTTATTATTTGGAGTCCAAAAGAATTGTTATAGTACCTCCAACTATCACACTGAAAGTAAAAGTCCAAGCGTGTTTTCGACAGACTGTAAAGTGGGGCAGGACCCTCTTTCCTTCCTTTTTATAGCTTCCCCAACTCATCTTTTAGTCTGATTCCAGGGAGAACTGATGCTAGTCCTTGGGGATGATGAAGATTATAGAGCAAAGCTGAGGCGAGACCCATCATCATCACTCTTCTGGACTCGGGACCTCTTATCCTAGAAAAACTTCCTTTTAACCACTTCTTTTTCAGAAATCATAGGTCAAGTATAAGACAACAGAGAGAGGGATGCAAACACATGCAAAAAGAGAGAATGAGATAATACTGACTGGTATGATGGCTGATTTCCGTTTTATCAAGATTTATATTAGCTTTCTAGAAAGATGGGTTTAAGGAAGCATTTGAAGAAACATAATCGCCTAGCTAGTGAATATTTACACAGAACTTCTTCCAAAAATGAACGGCACAAGGGGAGAAAGCACAGCACCGAAAACCCAGGAAGGAGGTGACGCGGGTTCATCATCACAGGCTGCTGAATGGCATTCACATCACTATCATGTAAGTGAACAAGAACTGTGTTAGAAGTTTATGTGAGGAGTGTTGGAAGCTAATATTGGCTGCAACGAATAAGAGGATGCCAATAAAAGGGTGAAAAGCAGATGGTGTTATGGTCAGAGCAGTAAGAAGGAAAAATGACCTTTCCAGTGCATTAACAGTGCAAGAGTACATTTGTCAAGACTGCATTTTGGTCACTGTACAGCAATTTATTAACTTGCAACACAAAAGAACTATGCCAGCCAAATAGGTTTGATTTGCCCAAGTGCACTAAGTAGCTACCTACGACTGCTAGCTGAGTTTTAAATATCACTTACTGTGGCTGCTTAGTTTACAAGTACCAGAACTTTCTAACGCCAAGAAAATTATATTTAAAAAGAAATATACAAACACAAAGCGGTATGCACCTACACTTTCAGGACTGGTATATTATCAGTTTGGAAATCACTTCAGTTACACTTTTCCTTTGGTTCTTAGAAGGCATAGCACTGACCATATATGCTTTATAACTTTGGTTTACTGTCAATAAATGAAAGGGGACTGGGATTCTTAAGAACTTTCTAGTTTCAGACACTATTCACCTGCTTCATTTTCCTACTAAGTTCTGTGAAAAAAAAGTATACTAAATAATAAACAAAGCTAGTTGGGCCACTGTTAGGCACTTCCTTCAAACCAATGCACCCAGACTGTTTCGAAAGGATGCTCTCTCAGCTGTATTCCCTGAGCGTTTTGTCCTTCATTTGCCCCGGCACCTGCGTTAGTGTGGTGCTGAAATGATCGCACCATCATCTCTCGCTACTTTTTAGATAGAAGAGAACATCTGAAGCTCTTGGGAAGAAGGAGCCAGGAACTGAGGGAAGTTAGGACTGCCTGCTTTTGCAGTGGTACACCTTTATGTCAAATTTTTACAATCATACAATCATATGATAAAACACACCACTAAAACACAGAATTGCCTCGAACAACTCTTTGTACTAGCTCAACAAAGCATGTTACGAATGCAAGTACACACCACGTGTTTCCTATGTAATTTATAAACCATAATAATGAAAAATGCATGGACAGTAACTTGGAGAAAAACATTTATAAACTTGCTAGCCACTTAAATAACATTTCAATGTTTACCTGCAGTCTTATGGCTATATAATATAGAGAGATGTTTATAACTACCTGATATCTTAAATAAAGAAATGAAAAACTTGAAAGAATTTACTTTAACAAAAAAAAAAACCCACAAAAAACAACTTTGCAGAAAGAGATGTTTATAATTTTCTCCTGCTGGAATTTTAGTTGCTGCTCTTGTTCTCTTTACTATATCATTGTAATTACCTTTCTACTGATCTGTTGATTTTGTCTTCACAAAAATTACAAGCTTATTTCGAACTGTGCTGCCAGAATTTAACTTTTTATTTTTATGGTCCTTCAGACACTGCTACACGATCTGACCAAGGCATAACGCCGAGTGCCTTTCAAACTGAGAACCAGGCACAAAATGACCTTACCAGCCTTTGTAGTTTTAGCAGCCACCACTTAGTTAAGACACAATATGCTTTAGACTTACATTGTCTTACATCCATAACACAATATGAAATTAGCTCTAGTAAGTTTGTTCTTCTATATTCTTCTGTTCTGTATCCACCTTCTCTTTTTTTAAATACTCCCCAAATGCCATGCCTTTACAACATATAGAGCCATAATTTACTTTACAGACGGTTAGAGCAGTTTTAAACAGCTGAATAGATTTACTTTTGATACTCGCACAGTGATTTAATCAGTTACTCGTGTTTGTTTACGGATACATTTGATTAGTGTTAAAAAAAATATCACTACCTATTAGTCTTGTCACTCCTTAGTCCAAGCAATTTTCTTTACAGTTTTATACTTAAGTTCTCTTCAGCTTTTCTAACAAAGAGCAAAGAGAACTATTGAACAATTATGATTACACTTGGGATCTTACTCTGAGACAGATTAATTCTTTACAGGTTTGTGGTTGATTTCTAATGGCCTATAACATATTGTTGATATTAAATAAGATGCAATTTAAAAACATTCTCAATGTGAAACAATAAAAATGTTATAAAAATCTGAAATTCAATTATTAGCCTGCAAGACTCGATACTGGCTATCTAGTTAAACCCTAACATCTCAGTCAAAGCTAAAAGTGACTTTTTTTTTTCCCCCCCCAAAGATGAAGGGCTAAAAAACCCGAAGACCAGGCACCCTTCCCAGCACCAGGAGTTCAACTATTCTTTAATATACATGAAAAAATAATTAAGGCTGCATATGAAACATTTATCTAGTTAGGGGAATGAAAAGAGACACTAATCCACCCGTGAGCCCAAGGAAAAGACAGGCATATAAACTCCTGGCTACTCTCCTTAAGTACGCGAGCAGGGGGAGCTCTCATGCACCGAGGACAGCATCACAGGTCTGCTCCTCACCAACCAATGCACGTGGCGTGAAACCAGTCTGCCTTCCAGTGAAGGCAGCTTGTCAGTACATCTGTGACCTGTCAGCCCAGGTTCTCAACGGAGGCCAAAAATCCCTCAAAAGATAGGCTTATGGACTCCACCACAGAACTCCACTGGATATTAAAGGGACTCTATGGCGATACTTGCTTATAGCACATCATCCTCTCTCCCCGTGACCTCCTCCATATTCCATAGGTGATAAAATACCAACCTGTTTCCATTAGGAGAAACTTAACTGATGTTTACTAACATTTACCTTACTAACAACCTCTTTCTACAGAGCAGGGATCAACTACTTGTTGTATTAGATAGTCTGATTTAATATACCCATTTTAATTCAGAGAACTTTTCTTGTTCTCTGAATTAGTGAGTACTTAGCTTTGAAGTCTGCTGCTTCTTTTTTAGACATGAGGAGGTTTGTGCACCTGAGAGTTTACAAATTTTTTGCCTTCCGTATTAGCTGCTTCTACCACCTCTTGCCATAAATTAGTCTTTCTTACACAGTCATGCCTTCATCAGCATTGCCATTCTTCCTATATATAAAACCTGTGAGTTCGGAATGCTTAAAAAAATAACATTTAAAACATTCAAAATGAAAACCACTTCTTCACCAGACTGTCAGTGGCAACAGCCTCAACTCAGCCATATTTCACCTTCCATTAATATGCAAAAGTCATATCTATCTAGCTAGAAATACAAGACAAAGATAACAGTCTAAGTGAGATATGCTTCTACTGTTAGCTGAACTGCCAATGAAGCACCAGACATGTCTGGACCGGAGTTGGGCAAAACACAGCAAAAACATGTATTACACAAATATAAAAGTATACAGGTATAACCAGAACTGTACAAAAGTAATCTGTAATAAGATGATAATAATAAATGTTCATATAATAAACTGATTATAATGAATGTTCAGTTAGAAGATGAAAAGTTCAAAATAAAAACAAACTTTATAGAGTTCTTTTAACAATGAGACTATTCATGAGAGCAAGTGGCAAGTCTATGCTAATCTCAAAACTTTTGATAAATTTAAAATCAGTATTTCATAAACAAAACATAGCACAGTTGAACATGAACACTGTACCTTATTTCAAGTCATAAGATATTCATTTACCTCTTCACTCACTTGCAACAGATACTGAATACCAATATTCAGTATTCAAAGGAGCAGTTTATGGATAACAACCATTGTTTCAAAAATAGTTACTAAATTATCTCAATTTAAAAACCCCTAAAAACACCTCATCTAAAATGTTCTCCTTAATCATGAGTGTTTATACAGACTTTTTAAAATTATTTATTCAAACTACAAACCACACCAAAACATATCAAAATTAATGTTTAAAATGTGAAGAGTATTCATACTGTTTGGGCAAAATTAGAAAATATAATTGGTCTCACAAAGGGTATTTTGGAGGTGTAACTGAGTCGGTGAAAAAGAATTAGGCAATTCTGAGCTTTTACAGCATCCATTTCCCTTCTCTTCCCGCCCCCAGTGGTGACATGAAAGGAATTGCAGGCTTGAGGAGGTACTTAGGACCAGGGCAGAACTGCACGAATTGCAGCACTTGCCCCACTCTTGCTCTCTGACATCCTCTTACCCCCAAACGATCAAGCAAAAAAGCAAAACATTTTATGCTTAAAGAAAGGAAAAAGAGAACCCACTAACACTGAGGAAGAAGAAACAGAACAATGCTGTTTAATCTGGGATATGCTAAAAATAAAAATCAGTTTATATCAGTACCAGCAAAGCTACTGGAATATGACATTT